ACGCGTGCCCCCAGGACAGGTGAGGGCCCCTCTCCAGACCCCGTGCAATCAGGGGGACAGTAGGGAGTCGAGAGCGCCGGGGCCCATCGGCCGGCCCTGCACCTCCTCTCCTTCCTGCCCATCACAGCTCAGGCCCAGGCCTGGACATGAGCTCGGGGTCACGCGGCATTGGCGACCTTGACCTCGCAAAGGCGTCCAGACCTCTGTCCCGTCGAGAGGGGTCTGAGGCGGCCGGGACTTCCCACTGGAGACTAGGAAGCAACAGCCAGAAAGGACAGAGGCCGCCTGGGTCAAAGGATGTGGGGACAACAGGAGAGACAGAGGCCGGACACCGCCTGAGGCAGCCCCAGGCTGCAGACCCCGGCCACCTCGTCGTGCCCTCACCAAGGGGCGGGGGCAGCCCTCTTCCAAAGGACCTTCGTGCCAAGACAACCACTGACAGCCAGCCCTGGGGCTTCCACGCCCGTGCGCGAGAGACTCGCACCCCCGTCCCAAGCATGGAATGCCTGCTCTGGCCTCCGACGTGAACAAGGATAACGCAGGACGAGCTAGAGCAGGCACCTCAGGGCGCGGTAACCAACAGAGGAAAAGGCAGGCCCACCTGCCCGCGCAGCCCTGCATGCCCGGCACCAGCTGTAGACCCCCACCCGCCGTGGCCCTGCATGCCCCGGCACCAGCTGTGCAAGCCCCCAGGATACCCATGTGGCCCTGCGTGGCCTGGCACCGGCTGTAGACCCCTACCCTGCCCGTGGCCGGACACCTACCCCTGGGCTGGACGGTCAGGTGGGCCACGACCTTGCGGGAGCCGATGATGTTGACCGCCTGGCACTCGTACTGGCCCTGGTCGTGCAGGGCCACGGCTGAGATCCTCAAGGTCCCTGACGACAGCACCAGGTGTCGCCTGTCCACGGACAGCTGGCTCCCTGTGGGGGAGTGAGCCGGGGTCTGCGGGGGCAGCAGGGATAGGCGGGGCCCGAGGACCTCATCTGAGAGCAGATGCCAGGCGACCTGGTTGGGGCAGGGGGGCCATGTCCTGGTCTGGCTGTCAGCCCCCAACCAGGCTCTGCTGGGTGGTGGCTCCGTGGCGTGGGTGATGAGCTCAGGGAGGGACAGGAGGGCCCCTCCCCAGAAGCTCCCAGGAAAGGAGATAAAGCTCTGGGAAACTGGGGCTGTCCGAGAAGCCGGGCACTCCAGGGCAGAATCAGGACATGGGCAGGGTTATTGAGAAGCACGGGCCACCACCCGGGCACCTGGAACACGACTTTAGGGATCAACTCTGTCCCCACATGGTCACGCTGTCTCAGGGAGGCTGGGTGTGTGGCAGGAGGGCCGCACCCCAAGACTACTCAGGCGGGCCGAGAGGCCAGGATGGACCCCCCAAGGCCTGGGCGGACCCCTGCCTCAAGCAGACGGGGTGCCCACCCTTACCAGAGCACACAGCCCAGCTGGGCCGCCCCAACAGCCCTCCCCGTGTTCCCCAGCCGCGCCCTGGGCCGGCTGGAGAGGGGTGAGGCATGGCCAGCAGCCACCCAGGAAGCGAGCCTGGGATCTGAGCGCAGACCAGCTCTATCCTCGACCATGCCCACCGCGTCTCAGAGGCTCCGCCCACACGCCGCTCGGCCGGCTGGAGACACAGACCAAAGTGACAGGGCCGTGGGGAGAGGCGATGGTGCTCCTGCCCACAGGCCACTCGCGGTGGGACTGCCCAAGAGGGCGGGCTCTTACCACCCTTGGTCCAGGCGATGACTGGCTGTGGGTAGCCCTGGGCCTCGCACTGGAAGTCCACGGTCTGCCCTTCGATGACGACTCTGTCCTGAGGAGTCACCGTGAACTGGGGAAGTGCTTTGAGGAAAGATAGTGGGGATGTGCCGGTCACGGGACAGCGCCAGGGAAGAGCAACGCGAGAAAGCCCGTGTCACGGCAGGGCTGTGGCTGGGCCCGGGACGTGGAGGGTGAGGCAGGACGCAGTGGACAGTGTGCGCTGACCCCAACAGGCACGGGAGGGAGTGAGCGCAGCCCTGCGGCAGACGGCTGCGACGTGTGAGCTGCCCACGGTGGCGAGCTTTAGGGGGAAGTCACAGAACGGGGGCCAGCAGATGGAGTGGTGATTAAGTTGCTGGACTCTCAGTCAGTTACGGTTCAAATCCCGGACCTGGTGGCTTGAAAATTACGCTGAGTGTGTGTGCATGCGTGCCCCAGATCCCGGGAGGACACTGGAGAAGGGACTGCAGTGTGGCCGTCCCCTGGGGGGTGATTTCTCCCTTTCCCTCTCACCGTCTCTCTGGTGAGCACACGTGCCCTAAAGCAAAAACCTCTCAAAAAAGTTACAGAACAGGGTACTTCACGTAGTTCCGTTTGGGCCTGTTTCTGTAAAAGTAACAGCCACACAGTGAGAGCCAAGCACATGATGGTGGCGTGTGCAGCACCTAGGTACCGCCCACGGTGGAGATCAAGGAGAGGGCAGGCCGGGGGCTGGGGGAGGGCGAGTCTGCATCTGCCCTCCGCAGAGTTTCGATTCCTCCCAAGCGTCCCACTTCGCAGTTCACTTACAAAGCGACCAGACTCCGTTACACGGTTCAGAAACACACACAAAAGGCGGTAGGCCCTACGTGCTCCCAGCATCCTGGGCCCCTAGCCCGACGGCAGGGAGTTGTCTGGCCATGTGCAGGTGAACGGGCCGGTCCAACGCACGCACCTGCTCGCTCAGGGCCGCTCGCAGCACCAGGAGCCAAGCCCTGCCCTGCAGCTGGTGTCACCGCCATCCCCAGGCTGAACGTGACCCGTGCTGCAGTGGCTGGGACAGAGCAAGCCGAGGGACAAGCCAGGGCACGGGGACACCCTCGGGAGCGCTCGTGAGGGGCATGTGCGGCGCTGGCGAGCCAGGCTCACCCTGCACGATGATGAGGGCGGCGGCCTGGATGCTCTCGGTGCCGCTGGAGGCAAAGCATGTGTACTCCCCGCTGTCCGCCTGGACCACGCTCTGTATGTAGAGGCCGCCGGAAGGCGTGATGTGCACCCGAGGGTCTGCCGGCAAGGGGGTCTGGTCCCCTCGCGTCCAGGAGATGCGCGGAGGAGGGTGGCCGGTGGCGCTGCACTCCAGGGTGACACTCTCCCCGACCAGCACCTCCGTGTTTTGTGGCTGGATCACGAAAGCAGGCCGAGCTGTCATGAGGGAACAGGAAGTCTCGGTTAGCGTGCGCCAGCTCAGCAGCTTCGCTGGACCTGTCCGCATTCAGGCACCTCGTTCTTCCACTTGCCTTAAAAATGAGCAAAATGAACACAATTTAATGGCAAACTTTCAGGTTTTCTTTAAGAATGTGCACACAGCAATAACGGTCCATGGCCTTGAGTCGCACAGCACACACGCACCTATGAACGGGGGCGACTCGGACAGTGAAGAGCCAGATTTCGCTATCCGAGCATGCTAGCCTGCACACGTTACCTGTCTCGTTCAACGTCCACTTGCAGAGCCTGGAACCATGTAGCAGGGCCAGCCGTGCGTGCTGCTGTTCACCCCACTTCCCGTGGTGACCCCAGCTGGCCCACAGCCCCCGTCCCTGAATAGGACCCTGGCCACCACTCAGTCGGGACATGGACTGCATAACACACCTCCTACACAACTCCCCGAGTCTCTGGGTGACCTAAGGGTCAGACAAACCCACGGGCCTCTGGCCGCAGACCCGTGAGGGCTCTAGGCGTTTTACCAGGGCTGGATCAGCCACGGCTTGCCGAGGAACGTGGTCACCAGGGCGACCCGAGGTCGACAGGAAGAGCCTGACTCAGGCCGAGACGAGAGCCCAGGCAAGTCTGAGGACGACGGGGAGGGCATGGAGGGAGAGCCGCTGCGCAGTGGTGAGCAGTGGTCAGCCGGTCAGCTCATGGCCAGGCTAGACACACCGGCACAGCGGTAACCAACGCGTAGCTGGCCAGAGAGGAACTGAATGTCTATGTCCCTCCCACACAGCTTCAAGGCACAGGGGCCCCGGTGCGGGTGGCAGTGGGGCCTGCAAGTCGGGCGGCCAGGCTGCCGGGCTCCACTGCAGGCCAGTGCTGCCATCACACTTGGGGAGGCCTGGGTGGTAGGGGCAGCTCTCGGCCCGACAGACCAGCCATACCGGGGCCACCTGTGTTCCTGTGTCCCGAAGACACAGGTAAATCGCTGTCTGACCGCAGAGAAGTCAGGGGAGACAAGGGCCCCAAGCCTGTTACTGACGAGCCTCTGCTGTCATCCTGGAGAGAGGGAACCTACCACCACGCCCCACTTACACCCCGTGGTCACCTCCCTGTCCCCACCCTCCAGGGTGACAGAAATGAGCCACCGCGCCTGGTGCTTCGTTTCTCTGTTGGACCCTGCGGTCTGAAAGCCAGCCGTGCCTGCCCCGGGACACTGACCCTGCCAGGGCATCGCGCACACAGGGACCGAGACGTCCGGCCAGGCTGTTGCAGCCCCGTCTTCGCCGCCACTGCCCGCTGGTCGTCCGGACAGGGTGGCAACATGCTTCCTGTGAGGGGACAGAGCGGGCCTGGCCCGAGGCCACGGGCCATGACCGGGATTCGTGTGACCATCACTGCCATCAGACGTCCTTCGGAGTTTCAGTAGTTTCGAAGGTAAAGAAAACAGTTTGGCCCAAAGGCCTCGGAGAAGCGGGCCCTTTGCTGGCTTCCCCCACAGCCAGCGGCCCCCACAGCGACCCCGCCCCGGGCTGGTGGTAGGTGCCTGTCATGTGTCTGGAGAGCCCCGTCCACACCCACGTGCTCGGACTGGGTCACCCACAGAGGCTGTCGTCTGAGGATGAGACGGCCACCCCGGGAGTTACTCGGAGCTCCCAGACCAGGGCTGGGGCCTGTTCTGAGCCACAACCATGCGACCTACTCGCTGCTACCCTCCCACCACCCTCCCGCTGCGGCCGCACGCACCGTAGCCCTGTGTCACACCCATGCTGAGCATGCCGCCCACTGTGCTCAGCCCCTGGGCCGCAGCGTCCCCAAAGGGCCAGATGCCGCCGGTCGGGCGCTGCTAGACGCCAAGGCACCCGTGCGGAGGCGCTGACCGGGGCCAACCAGCCGAAGTCCTCACTCCTACTAAGTGTCACCACGGCCCTGTGACGGCCCCACGTGCAGACAGCAAACCCACTTTCAAGAAGCCAAGACTAAACCAAAACCAAACGGGAACCACAGCTACTGGCAGCCGGCAGTCCCACGTCTGAGATACAGAACACCGGGAGACATCCCGGCAGGCCGGGTGGGGAAGCTGAGAGTGGCCCGGGCCTCGGGGAGGGTACGGATGGTCGCCGGGAAGGTCAGACCCTGACGGCCCACCAGGTCGGCTGCCCCCAAGGGGCTCTCCAACCAGCGTCTGGGGTGAGCCTGCTGGTCGGAGCCGAGTCTGCAGACGGGCCCAGGCAGTTCAGAGGTGGCAGCTGCAACCCTGGACGAGACGCCCGTGCCCTGCACGAGGAGACCTGTCATCGCCAGAGATCTGCTCTGACCACCAAAGCCCTCAGTGGAACACAGACCCCACCGCCGAGAGGGGCCAGCTCTCTGCCGCTCGGCAGGCCTGAGAGGGTGGCGTGGGTGGGAACGCTGACAGCTTGCCTAGCCATCACAGGTCTAATGGTGTCTGCTCGGGGTGTGTCCCTGACCAGACCTGGCCATGGTTCAGAGCCAGGCTCAGCACCACCACAGCCCGGAGCTTCCACAGCCTCCTGGGCCGACCTGGGCCCCCGGGTCCTACCTGAGGCGTCCCTTATCTGAGCTGGGCTGCATGGACCCCCAGAGCGCGGCAGTGCCGGTGGGCTGGCCCTCCACGTACCTGGAGACTCGAAGTATCGCAGGGTCACCCCGTGCGTCTTGGCCTCCCCAGCTGCGTTCTTGGCCATGCACTGGTAGAGGCCCTGGTCGGCCTCCTGTGTGTCCCGGATCATCAGGGTCCCGTCACCCAGCAGGTTGAGGCGGGGGTCGGTCTTCATGCTCAGTTCGTTGCTGCAGAGACAGAGCCCTTCCCGCTTGGACGTCTGAGCCCCAAGCGTGCTCACCAGGCCCGCAGAGCCCTGAGCCCCGGCGTCCCGGGGCTGTGGATGCTTCTGGGAAACCGACCCCAGGGACGTCCCCTCGAGGATGCCCTCACAGACAACTCCCGGAAGGTGAGCTGCGCCCCCTAGGCACGCCCCGGCCAACCTTTACTGGGCCCCGGCCACCTCCCTGCATGTTTAAAGCTGCTCCGCTTCCCCAGGGGAAAGAGGACAGAGGGAGAAGCCAGAAGGACACGCCTCCTTGTTTCCAGGCTAGACCTGGGACCTGGGGGCTGAGGCCACTGATGCCTTCTGGGTCACAACTGCAGCCAAAGGAGTGGGGGTTTGAACAGGAGCCTGACGCCGCGGCTCCGCCCCGCACAGGCCGACAAGCTGCCCAGTCGGGGCAGAGGGCACGGTGGCAGACCCAGGACACCCCGCCCTCAGGAGCTGGCCTGGGCTGGGAGCCCCTCAAGGGCTGGGATGCGGGTAGTCCCCACGCCCTGCTGCCTCGTCGGCCCAGAGAAGCTGCCCTTGCCTTTCTCCCTGCCCGTTCCCTGCAGGGGCAGGACACAGGACAGGACACGGGCACCGCAGTGGTGGGTAAGGCGGGTGTCTGGCCAGCCCAGCGCCTAGGGCTTTCATCCAGCATGACTCACTTGTTCCGCAGCCAGATGATCTCGGGCTTAGGGTAGCCTTCAGCCCTGCAGGTGAAGTACACGGTGTTCCCTGAGGTCACGTCCGCGTCCTGCGGCTCCGAGGTGATCCGCGGTCTTTCTGCGGCAACGAGGATCAGAAACCTTAGCCCACAACTGTGATGGCCATGACCCAGGACCCTTGCCCCTGCAAGTCCTCCCTCTCATGAGAAGGCCACGCGCTCCCAGAGTGGATCTCGACCACTCCCCGCAGCTCCGTGGCCCACTCACCACAGTTCAGCTCTTCAGGAGTGACGGTGGCCACGGAGCGACCCTGGAGAGCCCTGGGGTGCTCACAGGTGGCCGCAGCCTGGGCGTTCCCCGACTGTGCATACGTTTTCAGTAGGTCGGCTAGCCACAGGATCTCACAGTCACAGCGAAGTGCATTCGCGTCCAGGCGCCTGCGGGCAGAGGATGCCGCTGCTGAGACACGGCTGGGCCATGCCAATCCCTCTCCACAGCAGGGCCTCAGGTTTCCCGTCCATGGTCAGGGCCTGCGGGCAGTTGGCCGTGGGAGGGGACGTTCTCTAGGAGGAACCCACACGGGGCTGCTCAACAGAAGAGCCTCAGGAGAGACAGGCAGGCTGGGCAGGGCCGTGAGTGACAGCCACCATGGCAGCGCTGCAGTACGATGCCGCAGAGGAGCACCGGGGGTGGTCAGGGCACGTCCCTGTGAAAGCACTCCGGAGGCGGCTCGATCGGAGGGGCCGCAGCTGTGGGCGGTCGACATGCATCGCCACCTGTCCCGAGCCTGGCCTGGTGGATCCTGGCCGCCTAGGGTGAGGGCCGCTTCTCCCCTCTCATCTATGAGGATGAAGACCCTGCTCACCAGGGCTCCTGCCCACACTGTGGCTTCGGTGTGGCTGGTGAGTCCTCACCTTAAATCGAAGTCTTCAAGCGTCATGGGGTCCAGGCCGACGCACTTTGCGTCACTGGACAGGCACGTGATCTGAACAGAAGGCCACTGGGCCGGGCCTGGCCGGCAGTCTGTGTTCTGGGCCACGTTTGTGGCAGGCACTAACAACTGCAAAACCTGGCCTTCAAGACCGACCACAGGGGCACCAGCAGATAGTGTAATGGTTACATCACTGGACTCCCACGTAGTCGTGGATCAAGTCCTGGAAGCAGCGGGTTAAAACTCATGCTGGGTGCGTGTGCGTGTGTGCCCAAAATCCCAAAAGGAGATTGGAGGAGAAGAGATTGCGGTACGGCAGTCTCCCCTGGGGAATAATTTCTCACTTTCTGTCTCTGTCTCTCCAGTAAGCACATGTGCCCTTATAGCAAAAATCTCTCTCAAAAAAAACAACCTAGTATACATTAGCAGGGGAAAAGTCCTTTTGGAGGCCTTGAAAAAAAGGGATAGATTTTTGTCTATTTAACACGACTCAGTCGTGGGTAGGCCAAAATACAAGGTGTGGACATGGCACAGAGGCACCAAGCTGGCTGTATTTCCGCCAGTCAGCTGTGCACCACGGAGCTGAGGGCTCATTGAGCTAACGGTGACTTAGAGATGTCCTTCTTGCCATGAAGGGCTGACTTGCAGCTGCTTCTCCGAGTCACTTGTTCTGCGTTTGGAATTCAGAGGGAACATGTCATCTCGTGGACAAGTGGACTCATGCTTTCATGACGGGGTCCGACTGCTGTGAGCACTCAGCTATGGCCAGCAAGGCCATGACTGCACTGGCCGTCTGCTCGCCGAGGCCCTGCACCTGGCCGTCTGCGCACCAGCATAGCTGCACCCCAGCCACATGCTCTGAGCGGCGGGAGGGGCTGGGCTTTCTGAACAGGTACCAGGAAGGCCGCATACTCACAGTCTTTTCATGGACTCCAAGTGACTGAATGTCCCCGGGACTAAGTGTGTGATCCGGTTGTTATGTAAAAATCTGTTCAAAAAATGATACAAACCATTTTTAAAAAACACTTTATATGCGTGAAAAAAAGATCAGATTTCTAAAAATATCTCAGTGCTTATGTTTATTCAATACACATTAGTTTGACAAGATTATTCAGTGCAAAAATAACTGCATTTTCTTTCCCATTAGTTTCTTTCTTATTTATAGTTTTCCGAATAAACAAAAACTGCAATCGCACTTCTGAGTGACAAGGCCAGGAATGAGGTTATACCGGACAGTTTCAACACCAGCCGCGACCCAGACAGAAACAAAGAGCGGGTGACGACTTACAGCCGCTCCAGCTTCGGCAAATGCTGGAATGACTCCGGGTCCAAAGTCTCGATCTGATTAAAGTGCAGGTATCTAGAGACAATTTTTAAAAAAGAAACATAATTGAAACAGCTTTATTCGTTTTTCAAGATCCACATTTTCTGCTCAAAATACTCGCAGTTTGAGTTTGCGTGTTCATAGATGACTCGAGATTTTCGACATCCTGCAGGAAGCAGATAAAGTGGGCAGTAGAAAGACTAAACGCAGCTGAAGACTGGGCCCAGGTACCAGGCCTGACCGGACGTGTGACCAGGGATCCAGACTGAGTCCCTTACACTCCCGGGGACAGGGGCCACAGGTGGTCGGAATGGTCACTTCTAAGTATACAGGTCTTGGGAAAAGCAGAAACCACCTTCACCCTCACACTCACATACCCGTGAGCATCCTCACTAAAGTCTCGAACTTGGGCGTAAATTTGGCCGCGGGAGTGACACACACTTGAAGGTGACATAGCCTGTCATCAGAGTCAGAAGGGTCGGCAGAACCGGAGGAGGGCCGGCCTGGGGCTGCCCAGGGCTTCCCTCCCACCTGGGACCAGGCATGTCGGGACAGCTATTCCTAACCGTTCAGAATGCAGATCTTCTCCCTTGAGAACCGGCTTTCTCCATAACGTGAACGCAGGGCCGCTGTGCCCGGACTGCTCTGCAGGCCAACGCCCTGCCCAGCTCTCCATGGGGCATGCACAGAGGCCCACCTGGCCCTCCACGGGGTGTGCACGGAGGCCCTGCCCAGCCCTCCACGGGGTGTGCACAGAGGCCCATGTGGCCCTCCACGGGGTGCGCACGGAGGCCCTGCCCAGCCCTCCACGGGGTGTGCACAGAGGCCCTGCCCTGCCCTCCACGGGGTGTGCACGGAGGCCCATTCTGACCTCCACGAGGTGTGCACGGAGGCCCATCCTGCCCTCCACAGGGTGTGCACAGAGGCCCTGCCCTGCCCTCCACGGGGTATGCACGGAGGCCCTGCCCAGCCCTCCACGGGGTGTGCATGGAGGCCCTTCCCAGCCCTCCACGGGGTGTGCACGGAGGCCCATCCTGCCCTCCACGGGGTGTGCACGGAGGCCCTGCCCAGCCCTCCATGGGGTGTGCACGGAGGCCCATCCTGCCCTCCACGGGGTGTGCACAGAGGCCCATCCTGCCCTCTACAGGGTGTGCACCGAGGCCCTGCCCAGCCCTCCACGGGGTGTGCATGGAGGCCCATCCTGCCCTCCACGGGGTGTGTACAGAGGCCCATCCTGCCCTCCACGGAATGTGCACCGAGGCCCTGCCCTGCCTTCCATGGGGTGTGCATGGAGGCCCATCCTACCCTCCACGGGGTGTGCACAGAGGCCCATCCTGCCCTCCACGGGGTGTGCACAGGGGCCCTTCCTGCCCTCCATGGGGTGTGCACAGGGGCCCATCCTGCCCTCCACGGGGTGTGCACGGAGGCCTGGTGAGGAGCAGGCCGAAACACAGACCAGGGCCCTGGCTCGAGTCCCCTCAGGAAACGCTCTCCGACTCAAGCTTGGGCGTCTCTGCTGTTCACACGGGAAACTGCTGTGACCTCAGGTCACCATGCTCAGACTGCCAGCGCTTGCCCTCCCAGCAACAGCTCGCTGTCACCGAGTATCCAGGGACATGCAGCCCCCATGATGGGAACAGCTAGAGCATCAGGGAAGAGAAGGCAGTCGGGGACTCTCTGGGCGAGCGTCGGATCGGACTGGGACGGAGATCCTCGGGGACCTTGAGGAGCAGTGTCCGTGCCGAGACAGAGCTTGTGCCCACAGGGGATCACACCCTTGACTGACACCCAGCCCAGAGAGCTGCTGGCAGAGAGTCCAGGGTGGCCCAGGCAGGACGAGTCCTCAGGGAGCCTGGAGGGAGGCACCGCATTAGAAAGGAAGGGCACAGCCTGGCTCGGAGCCCAGCTCCTCGGCTGTGTGGCAGTGCGCGAAGGCCAGGCAGGGAGAGGCCTGAGTAGGAGGCTCCAGCCTAAAAGGCTGAGACTGACGGAGGCTGTGAGTCTGGGCAGCTCATCTGCTATCTCCCGTCCGCCTGGACAGCTGAGGAACTGAGGACCACAGAGAGGACATGGCCCCGAGCACAGGGGCCAACACTGAGCTCTCCCCCCATTTCCTGGCACGTGTCAACAGCCCCCCAAGAGGCCCGTCTAGACCACAGGCTGTGCCCAGGCAAAGTCTCCCTCCAGGCTCTAGGGGCCCAGTCTCTGCTGAGATGTGGTCTTCGGGGCTGGAGTAGGGCAGGGGCCCAGGCAGAGTTAGCCACATGGGCAAGGCCGGGAGGACGCGCCTGTGCCCCAACTCAAAGGTACTCGTCTCCTCCCTGGCAGGTGGCCTCCAGGGTCAGGGCCTCCTGGTCTCCAGTGCCCCCGAGTGGTTGAGACCAAGTCTCTGCCTGCCAGCCCTGGGGTTTAAAGCAGCCAGCTGCTTCCTGGCCCCAGCCTTTCAGCATTAAACCCCACTGGGCACTCCTGGTGCTGCTCCGCTCCCGCTTCAGACCCCAGGGCCTGCCTCTCCTTCCTCTGCAGTTCACTGGCCCACCTCCCCGAAGTCAGCCGTGTCCCGTGCTGCAGGCGGTGCCCCTGCAAACGTCCATGACTGCACCAGCATAGCTGCACCCCAGCCACATGCTCTGCTCCGTGGACCTGGTCCTGACTTCGCCTAACTCGGCCTGTCCAGGATGCGTGGGGGCCATGCTCCCTGGTCTCGACATGCACCTGGCTAGACCTGGGTGCTGCAAGGACAGCCGTGGTCCTACGGGGCCCACTCCAATGCTGGGCCTCAAGCTTTCTGAGGACTAGGTGGCTCATCGGCCACTGGAGGTGACAACGAGTAGCAGCAGCCCTGTAGGGACACACACAGCTGCCAGGGTATGAGCAACCCTGTGACAACACACACCTCTCGGGCCCGGCGACAGTGAAAGGTAACCGGGCGTGGTGGACAGGGAAAGCGGAGCCTCCTCCCCAGGACCTTCTGCCGAACACACGGCCCGACGATGTGCTGCAAGACCCAGCTCATGTGTGGCCAAGAGGCATGGCAGTCGGCTCCTCACAGGGACACCGAGACCACCTGGGGCGAAGCACACGCAGGCGACCACGCACAGGCACAAAGCCGACCTCCCACCGCCAAGCCTTGTGTGCATTTAGCTGTTTGCATCTCTCTCTCTCTCTTCATCTCTCCCTTCTGCCCAGAAGAACCCACAGCAGCACAACGGCTTAAGTGCTGGGCCCAACGTGGCCAAACAGGCTTGGGAACATGCTGAGCACGTGTGCACGCCCAGCACTCTGAAAGGGGGGAGCATGCCAGGTACGTGTGCACGCCCGACACCGTGAAGGGGGGGCATGCCGGGTACGTGTGCACGCCCAGCACGCTGAAAGGGGGGGGCATGCCGGGTACGTGTGCACGCCTGACATCATGAAAGGGGGGGGCATGCCGGGTATGTGTGCACGCCCAGCACCCTGAAGGGGGGGACATGCAGGCGGCGTTGACATGCAGAGCACCCATGGCAGGTGCTCTGTCCCCTCCCTGTGTCTCTTTCTGGTGACCACATGCACTCATGGCACAGTAACGGGTTGTTGGAAAGGTCATGACGCATGTCTGCTGTTTTTCTATGTAAAAATGCACTGCAACTTTCCAATTAGAGAAAAAAAGAAAGAACCACATCTTTTGTCACAAGGCAGGGAATGACTCACGTGGTCGCTCTCCGTACCAGGAGTGCCCGCGTAACATGGGCACAGGGACAGAAGGAGCCCAGGAGACATCAGCTATGGGACACAGGAGACCAGAGGAGCGGAGAGATGGACGGAGGAGGGTCCCCGATTGTGTGTTCGCGGCCGCACCCATGCAGCACCCACAGCGCCCAGGCCGATGTGCATGCATCATGCAGACGGTGAGCTCAGAGCGCTCCCTGCACGTGCGGAGGGCAGGCGGCTGCTACGAGAGGGACAGACAGGAAGGCACTTACAGCTGCTCTAGAGAGACGAGTCCCTTAAACGCCTGCCTGTCCACTGCCTGGATCTCATTCTTGTACAGATAGCTGAAACAAGAAACGGGAGTGTTAGCACACGCAGCGTCCCGGCGGCGGGGAAAGTGGACGCATTCGCACACCAGCCAGTCCCACTTGGCGGCTGTCCCGAGCCAGACACTGATGCAGGGACATGCACTGTGCAGTCGGCCGTCCCTGACGCACTGGCGCATCAGAAGCAGCCTGTCAAGGTGGGACAGCCACCATCAACACGGCCGTCACACAGGGCTCGACCCTGAGCCACGGCTAGCAGGACTGACACCACGTTTCAAAGATAAGGGAGAAAAATCACTTCTGCAAACAATCAGAGCAACGACCGTAAGGTCCTGGAGCTGACACGGACACGGGCCTACGGTAAGACCTGGAGCTGACATGGACACAGGCCTACAGTAAGGTATAGACCTGACACGGACACGGGCCTACGATAAGACCTGGAGCTGACATGGACACGGGCCTACGGTAAGACCTAGAGCTGACACGGACACGGGCCTACAGTCCGGGCCTACGTGAAGACCTGGAGCTGACATGGACACGGGCCTACGAGCTGACACAGACACGGGCCTACGGTAAAACCTGGAGCTGACACGGGCACGGGCCTACGGTAAGACCTAGAGCTGACACGGACACGGGCCTACAGTAAGACCTGGAGCTGACACGGACACGGGCCTACGGTAAGACCTAGAGCTGACACGGACACGGGCCTGTAATGTCTGGAATTATTTGTGAGCACATATGCCATGCAAACACTGGCTACGCCTGGAACTCCTCGCCCATCGAGTATCCCACCCACCGTCAGCAGAACTGGGCATGGGGCACAGGGACAGCACCGTGCTTCTTGGTCCTACATCTAAGAGTGATCTCCACATTTCTGAATCACTAGGAATTTCAGATGAGGGTCAAACTGGACCGGTTGGAACCGGACAGTCTCATTTCAGTGTGCACAGATAAAGTCCTGTGGGGCGTGGCCATGATTGCTCACCTACCTCTGCCCACGCCTGGTGCACCGTGTAGGGTGCCCTGTCCTGACAGACCACGAGGCCGCCGTGCTCAGAGGGACGCTGCCTTTCCCTTACCGTGACCAACGGCTGAGCCCTACTTAGTGCATCAGGGGAGGGGTTTCTCACCAAAGTGTCATAATCCCAGGACAGACCTGTGCCAGATCTGTGTGGCCTGGGCGTAAGCTGGTCCAGCTGGGCTCTCTCCTCACTCCCACCCCATGACCCAAGGCACATAAGCCCAGAGGCGTCTACACTCACATACTCAGGCACCTGATAGTCTTCTCGTCACCGCTGACACAGGTGGTGGACAGTCAAAGCCCACTTTCCCTGCATTCTGACATGAGTAGCAAGTTCTCTTCAAGTTGATCACTTGGTGGCTAGGGTTCAACGCCCCCACTCGATTCCACTTACTGAACGACAGCTCTGTCTCAGTGCTTGGAACGGTACACGCTTCATTTTTCGGGGGACAGAACACGCTACCATGTCTCACTTATGCCCGGGGAGGTCCGGGTAGCAGGACCTGTATGCCAGCTTTAACTGCTGCACTCCATCTAAGCGGGTCTAACCTCTGCCTCAGTGCAGATTTGTGGAGCAGACCTCACGAAGGATTCTAGTCCTAATGCCAACCAGCCAACCCAGCAGAGGTCAGGCAAGGAGCCCCTCCGCCAGGCTGTTCATATTGGCATGGCGAGGCACGCCTTGTGTGACCCTGCACAGGGCATCCACCTTCCTGTGCCTCTGCACGTCCTGGACAACAGACGGCAGCAGGAGATTAATGAGTTACACATGACGTGACTGAGGGCACAGCCAGTACTTGGCAGCCACTGCTCAGGTAGGAGCCATCACTACCTCTCCTACGGAAGGCAAGCTAATGTGGGTTTCAGCCCATTTCTTAAGAACAAAGCAAAACCAAACTATCAATGCAAACACCACTTTGCATGCACTTTTTAAGAATGAGGGCAGGGCATTTCATTTAAAGAGTCTGTAAGCCGGTGGACCCGAACTACTCATCCAAATGCGTGTTTATAACAGCGCTGTAGCCACCTCCATTAGCGAGCTGGGCACTGAAGACCTTCTACTAGTGAATTATGATCTACTTTTTCGGAGTTGACTCTTTGAATTTGAGTTTAAACGACCCCAGGGTTCAACAGCACCATCAGGAAGTGTATATCAAAGGGGCAGATTCTGCCTCTCCAGCAGTAACTGGGGCTCCAGAAAGCAGGGGCTCCTCTACGTCGGCAGATACGCGCCGGCTCTACGCAAATGGAGGAAGAACAGCAGACACGTTTCACGTGTAAACTTCAGCTCTGCAGTTCCCAGTCTGGGCTAATCCGTGAGCTCCAAAGGCTCTGGAGAGGGAGCTGGGAATGTGGTCCCCAGGCTAGGGATCACACCAGGATTCTCCCATGGCCCTGTCCCAGCTGCTGTGGCCGGGCTCTCCTCATGACCCTCCCCCCGACCCCACCGAGTGGGCTGGTCTTCCACTGCTCGTGGACGCCACTTCTGTGTGTTGGTGGAAGGGGGAGAAGTGAGGTGGGAGCTCACATGTGTAGGGAGTGAGCTGACCCACACAGGAGGGCTGCCACACATATGTACAGAAGGCCACATGTGGCAACCACTGAGTGCTCGGCATGTCTGCAGGCCATGTAAGAAGTTGCTCTTAGGTAATTCCAAGCCAAAAACTATTAAAAATATGAGCAAAACTGCATACACATTAATGTGGTACCAGCTACAAAGTAGACTTTCCAGAAAGCCAAAAGCCCTCTTCCGCAACTTGTACAACACTAAACACACAGAAAGAAGGGCCAGGCCAGCACGTGGGTAAGGCACTGGACTCCCACATGGCTGACAGCTGTTCGAGTCCCAGACTCAGCAGCTTAAAAATCACATTCAATGTGTGTGTGACTGCCAAAAGTCCAAAGGAAAATGGGGAGAAGGGACTGTAGTGTGGCCGTCCTCCAGGGAGAGATCTCTCACTTTCCCCCTCTGTGTCTCTCAGTGTCTCTCTGGTGAGTGTGCATGTCCTATGGCAAAAAAACTAAAAAATAAAAAAGGAAAAGAAATTCAAAGAACAAATACAAGGCTCATACCATGCTTAAAAATGAGTAACATTAGTAAAGCTATGTTTACAGAATTAAAGTTAATATATTATGCCAAAAATTAGAGACAAAATGTTTATATGTAATACTTTCAAGTATCTCCACTGAGGTAATGCTATGTTAATGATCAGTGTTAAAGGCAGCTCTGCAATTCTGACCCACTGACATGTGAAATCAAAGGAAACTTCCGAACATACGTCGACATTAACGAGATGGCTTTATTCTAAAACTGATGTGGCCTAAGACTTCAGGCTCAGCTATGCCGTGACCCCCAGTAACGGGCTGACGCAGACCCGTCACGGGCCCCGGCTCGGGATGAGGCCGAGTGCCGATCTGGAACAACCCGGCAGGCCGCAGCCACCCCACCCAGTCAGCACTCGGGCGTCCCGGCCTGTCGGTCTCACGGAGCACACGTGCGCCCTGTGGTCCCAACCTCTCGGGAGAGCCCCCTTCTCAACTGCAAACGGACTTCAACGAGCAGATGTTTTTTAATTTTAAAAAATTGTTTCAAGCAAAATAAACATTAACTACATTAAAAACTAAGTGCGATCACTTGAGGAAGACAGGAAAACTGGCAGGGGTCAGAGACAGCCCAGTGGACCGATCGTGTGCAGTACCCCTTTCACCTGGGCCGGGAGGCTGCAGGGCCATGCGGGAGAGTGGACCGGCCCCGGCCAGCTGGCGTACGGCGACTGCCCGTCACGCCCCTCAGAGGCTCCCGCCACTCCAGTGATTTCCGGAGGCCGTGTCAGCGTGTGACCCTGCCCGCTGCACTCAGGGCGCAGCGGCCACAGGTGCAGCGCAGCGGCCACAGGTGCAGCGCAGCGGCCACAGGTGCAGCGCAGCGGCCACAGGTGCAGCGCAGCGGCCACAGGTGCAGCGCAGCGGCCACAGGTGCAGCGCAGCGGCCACAGGTGCAGCGCAGCGGCCACAGGTGCAGCGCAGCGGCCACAGGTGCAGCGCAGCGGCCACAGGTGCAGCGCAGCGGCCACAGGTGCAGCGCAGCGGCCACAGGTGCAGCGCAGCGGCCACAGGTGCAGCGCAGCGGCCACAGGTGCAGCGCAGCGGCCACAGGTGCAGCGCAGCGGCCACAGGTGCAGCGCAGCGGCCACAGGTGCAGCGCAGCGGCCACAGGTGCAGCGCAGCGGCCACAGGTGCAGCGCAGCGGCCACAGGTGCAGCGCAGCGGCCACAGGTGCAGCGCAGCGGCCACAGGTGCAGCGCAGCGGCCACAGGTGCAGCGCAGCGGCCACAGGTGCAGCGCAGCGGCCACAGGTGCAGCGCAGCGGCCACAGGTGCAGCGCAGCGGCCACAGGTGCAGCGCAGCGGCCACAGGTGCAGCGCAGCGGCCACAGGTGCAGCGCAGCGGCCACAGGTGCAGCGCAGCGGCCACAGGTGCAGCGCAGCGGCCACAGGTGCAGCGCAGCGGCCACAGGTGCAGCGCAGCGGCCACAGGTGCAGCGCAGCGGCCACAGGTGCAGCGCAGCGGCCACAGGTGCAGCGCAGCGGCCACAGGTGCAGCGCAGCGGCCACAGGTGCAGCGCAGCGGCCACAGGTGCAGCGCAGCGGCCACAGGTGCAGCGCAGCGGCCACAGGTGCAGCGCAGCGGCCACAGGTGCAGCGCAGCGGCCACAGGTGCAGCGCAGCGGCCACAGGTGCAGCGCAGCGGCCACAGGTGCAGCGCAGCGGCCACAGGTGCAGCGCAGCGGCCACAGGTGCAGCGCAGCGGCCACAGGTGCAGCGCAGCGGCCACAGGTGCAGCGCAGCGGCCACAGGTGCAGCGCAGCGGCCACAGGTGCAGCGCAGCGGCCACAGGTGCAGCGCAGCGGCCACAGGTGCAGCGCAGCGGCCACAGGTGCAGCGCAGCGGCCACAGGTGCAGCGCAGCGGCCACAGGTGCAGCGCAGCGGCCACAGGTGCAGCGCAGCGGCCACAGGTGCAGCGCAGCGGCCACAGGTGCAGCGCAGCGGCCACAGGTGCAGCGCAGCGGCCACAGGTGCAGCGCAGCGGCCACAGGTGCAGCGCAGCGGCCACAGGTGCAGCACAGCGGCCACAGGTGCAGCGCAGGGGCCACAGGTGCAGCGCTATCTCCCGGCAGCGTCCCATTCCCAACGCTCAGCCTCTGGGAGCTCAATCAAGCCTCTGAGGGTGTGCTTACAGTATTCAGCCGCACGGCCTGCATGCACACATTCTAAAGCTGACAGCAAAGCTCCAGGGCTAGGGACCCGTGGCTAACTCACAGGTATTTCAGGTTCTCCAAGTCCTCGAATGCCCCCGCAGGTATCCTCTTGATCTGATTGTTGTTGAGAAGCCTATGGGGAAAAGTTCCCGTAAGAATTAACAACAAAAAAGGAAAAAAAGAAAAAAACTTTCAAATAGCATCACAGAAGAACATCTGTAACCCAGGGAAGGTCCAGAGAGATCAGGCGACCGCCCTCACCAGCACCCTCCGGTGCTAAACCCACAGGCCCACACTCGCGGCAGACTGCACACTCCTCCTCCTGCAGGGGGCGCTGGCTCTCTGCCCCACTGTCCCTGGGACGGCCTGTAGCCAGACAACGGCCCACAGATGGCAGTCACAGCAGTACCGCTGGCCCAGCCAGACTGTCACTCAAGGGCCAGCACCGGAGACCGCTTGTTGTCAAGGCCAAGAGCTGGTGTGCAGAGCCACCAGGTCCCCTGCCCTAGGGGCCGCACGGCCGCTGGGCACTTGGCTGGCCCCTGCGCTGTACGCAGGGCAGTCACAGCCAATGCCCAGGCTCTGTTGCAGAGGGGAGCTGGCGCCCACTGCAGGGAGCCTTCCACCCTGGCATGGGGTTCCCGAGTGCGCCATGGGGGCCTACACACTGGCCGGGAGGGCATCCAGGGCTCTGGGAAGCACCTTCCACTCGGTCTCGCAAGGTTCAGGTGCAGGAGTGAGGAGGCCCCAGGCCAGGTGAAAGCTGCGAGGCTGGAGCCAGGGCCCACAAGACAGGTGAGCGTGGCTGGGCACATGGACATGGACCCAAGACACGGGACAGTCGGCCAGGAGAGGAGGCCTGGCCTCCATGTGCCTATGCTGACCTCGCTGCCCACCACGCCTCACTCATGCCATGACTGCAGGCGATGAGGGAATCGGGTCCCAGACGTGCCTGCAGGGGCATGCAGCCGCGTGTCCAGCCAGTTCACAATCCATGTCCAACTTACAGCGTGTTCAGGCTCCTCAGCTGCTGGAACGCCCCAGGCTGGATCTCCCGGATTCTATTAAAGCGAAGATCCCTGCAAAGCAATGGGGCATGCATTCACACAGGGAGCTCTGAGCCAGCACGCCCTCGCGTCTCAGCATCAAGTGGTGGCAGGGCATTTGAGAACTCAAGCCGGCCTGGCTTGGTGGTAACATGCTGCTCAGGAACGTCGGAAAGCCACAGGTTCGGTTCTCGGAAGACCTGCATGTACCGCTGGGCAGGTGTAGGGAGGAGACTGCGAGACCCTTTTGAGGGTGCTTGTCTTTGTCTCGCTCTTCCTCATGGAAAAGATGAACAAGAAATAAAGTAAGGGCCAGCCCTGCAGCCTAGCTGTGACAGGAGTGGGCCTCGCGCAGTTGAACACCATTCGAGTCACTGCAGGGTGCATACAAGGCCCCGACAGGATGGGGACGTGGAGAAGGGACGACGGTGTGGCTACACAGGTGGGGCGCTTTCTCCTCTCTCCCTCTCCCTCTGGCAAGCACGAGCACCATTTAAAAAATAAATAAATGAAATAAAATGAAAAATGGAATCACTCAGTTTGCTCCTTGGATGAATCATGTCTTCACTGAGGCTAATTGGCTAATCCATGCATGGGTCCTCATTCGGACCGGAACACAGACACCAGCACGTGGAAATCTGTTTGTACGTAATTACAGGGACATTTCAAAATCACGCTAACCACCTACATGTCACGCCACTGACAAAGTCACCAGATACCTGGCGTGGATCAGCACAGAACAAGCACAGGTCAGGCTGCGCAGTGTCCGAGAAGCCGTCACACGAGCGGTGTGGCAGAGCTTCCTTCAACGTTTCCATGGGCTGGAGCCACGGCCTGCAGCATGGTCTGCAAAGCCACAAGGTGACTCGGTGTGTGATGGGAGAATGCAGCTACTGGCACTTGGCTTTCAACCCAGTGTTTCCAAACAGGAGTGCGGTGGAGCCTGGCGTGAGCTGTGGGCCCCTGGGAGGCAGGGTGCCCAGGGAGGGGTGGGTTTCACCCCCACCCCTACTCCCCTGCAGCTCCCCTTCCTTACCCTGACGACAGCCTTTACACTGGGCTGGGAAAACGGGTGAGCACCGTCCCGAGTCAGCAAGTTAACCAACCCCGAGCAGGGTGGGCTCTCGGGTGCCCCAAGCAGAGCTGGCCTGTCGGAAGCAGGTGCCACCACCCAGGCTCACAGGGCGTCTGAATGGGGGGGAGGTCTTGGGGAGAAGACCCTAGCCTATGTGATCTGGCACCACTTCTGGGCAGTATCAGAAATACATGGAGTCAGGGGCTGGCAGATGGACTAATGGTTACATCACTGGACTACCACGTAGTCAACCACGGTTCAAGTCCTGGACCCAGTGACTTAAACCTCACGCTGGGCACGTGCGAGCATGTGTGCCCAAGACCCAGAGAGGAGAATGGAGAAGGGATTGTGGTGTGGCCATCCCCTGGGGGAGGGTAATTTCTTTCTGTCTCTCTGGTGAACACATGCACTCTATAGTAAAAACCTCTCTTAAAAAAAAAAAAAAAACTACATGCTATTAAAGGTCCCCCTGGTGTCCACCACAGAACCAACTGTCTCTCTCTTAAAAAAAAAAAAAAAAAAAACTACATGCAATTAAAGGTCCCCCTGGTGTCCACCACAGAACCAACTGCTTGCTTGCTGGTGGGGAGAGGGCCGCACCTCGAGGTCCTCAGGAGCAGCCGGTGCTATGGGCACGGTGGAGAACTGGGTGGTTTTCTAGAACTGCAGAGCTCTGGGAAACATGCGGCTTTGAATGTGAATATGGAGGGGGGATGAGGAGCCATGGTCCCTGGACTGGTCCAGGTCATAGCTTCTGAGCTGCAGCTGTGTGACATTAGTCCCTGAGAGGACATTACAGAGGGGCCCAGCCCCCAGAGCTTGTTCGCTGAGTGCATGAAGCAAGGAGCTGAGGGCCAGCTGGCAGAGTGGCCGTGAGTGTGCTGGGTTCCAGCGGCCGACTCCTCGGTTCAATCCCAGACCTGGTGCATGTGTGTGTGTGCGTGTGTGTGTGCAAAATCCCAAAAGGAGAACGGAGAAGGGACTGCAGCATGGCCATCCCCCCGTGATGTCTTACTTTCCTTTTTGCTTTCTGTCTCTCTCCCCCGCCATTACAAGTGCCCTAACACAATTCAAAAAAGAAACGCACATGGATTTTTCTAAAACACATAATCCCTTAATGTTCTGGCCAGACCAATGAGTCAAGAAAAAGAAACTAAGGGCGTCTAACTGGAAACGAGGAGGTTGGGCAGCCAGCAGGAGCACTCAGGGAACACGCGTGTTCCTGTGGCCGGAGGAGTGCGGGCTCCGGGCATGGCTCAGCCCGGGGATCCCCACTGGCCACGCCGACCCCGGCTGCGCTAAGGGCTGTCCTGAGCAACGTGCCAACCATGTGACAGGCCAGACAGGCGGGAAGTTTAGGGAGCACATGTGCAGAGAGAACGAGTCCACACCAAGGCACATCCAGGGCTCGGACATCCCCCGAAGGCTAGAACACGCAACTCACAAAGCCTCTTTGAGCTTGCTGAATAAAGCATTTCAGGACGGCCTTCTCATTACAATGACGAGTATTAGCGTCCGACTGGGGGAAGGCAATGCACCGCCCTGCAGTGCAGAAACCATCAGGCCAAGTAGCGCGGTCCCCAAGAGAAGGTTCGACTTCAAAGTCCAACAATGCAGGGGCTGGCAGGTGGTATGGCAGTGAAGGGCGCTGGACTCCCACATGGCCAACCACGGTTCGAGTCCCAGACCTGGTGGCTTACTTTCTCACTTTCCCTTTCTCTTTCTCACTCTGTCTCTGGTCAAATAAAATAAAATAAATAAAATAACTGTTTCTTCCTAAAAGTCCAACAATACAAGCAGATTGGCCAAATGTAAAGATAACCTGGCTCTTAGCTCAAACGCTACGTTCTTCATCTTAAATCTGCTCTTCCCCTTTAATTGGGGGGTGACAGCCTTTTCTGGGGTCTGGAATAACATCCTACTCCAGCGTGTACGACATTAATTTAGGAAATGCTTTATCCAGCCACATCTGTGCTTCCACTCAGAATTACACAGGCTCCATCCTGCTTGGAGCCCGCGGAGTTGCCTGTGGGTGGGTCCGGTATGAAAGGCCCAAACCATCCCGGCCTCCAGTTTCCTGGGGTCAACCCTGGTGGGCGGGGGCTGCAGAGGCAGCCATGTGGCACGTGGGCTGGGGATGGCTACTGGCCCCCAGCGGCCTGCGTGAGACCCGGTGCTGCCCCGCACACGCATATGGGTTCCACGCCACCAGGGCCGCTGCAAGGCAGCATTGTCAACAGCTTAGCCAGAGGCCGGCTGGGAGTCTGGCCTGGCACTGGAAACCCACGTGCTCGGCAGGGGGCAACGGTGAGACAGGAGCTGCTCCAAGGCATCTCCCACTCCCACTCCCCCTGCACGGGCCTAATCCAGAGTTCCAGATGCCCCTTGAGCCCCGTTTTCCCTCAGCTTCTACTTTAACTAACAGTACCACTCACTGTCTGTGACCCCAGGGTGGAACCTGGCCCCTCAGGCAGGTCCCCTTCTGCCCTACCGACTCCACCCACCTGGGTCTCCCTGAGCAGAGCATGCCCTGCAGCTTGAACAGGCCTGGGGGAGCTGGGCAGGAGGCACTTACAGGATTCCACTGCAGCTGCTGAGCCCCAAGACAGCAGTGGCCCCAGCCCCACCCACCTGGGCCTCAGAGTCCCCACCACACAGCACAGGGCCCTTCTCCCCGCACAGGCCCCTCTCACAGAGTCCCCACCACCCCGCACAGGACCCTCCTCCCCACACAGGCCCCTCCCACAGAGTCTCCACCACCCTGCACAGGCCCCTCCTCCCTGCACAGGCCCCTCCCACAGAGTCCCCACCACCCTGCACAGGCCCCTCCCCCCACAGGCCCCTCCCAGAGTCCCCACTGCCCTGCACCGGCCCTTTTTTTCTCCCCCCACACGCCCCTCCCCCAGACGCCCCACCACCCGGCACAGGCCTCTCCTTCCCACACAGGCCCCTCCCACAGAGGCCCGCCACCCTGCACAGGCCCCTCCCCACACAGGCCCCTCCCACAGAGGCCCACCACCCTGCACAGGCCCCTCCCCACACAGGCCCCACCCAGAGCAGAAACAAGACTGGGTCAAACCCTGCCCACAGGACGGGACCCTGCGACCTGCTGGTTTCATAACCCCGTGATGGCTTAATAAAACCTAAAATTCAAGTTAATTCCTGAAATGAGATATTCCTTTTTAAATTTTTGAAAAAACTCTGGACTGTGCACTTCAAATGGCACGTCGGCCACAATGGCCGCTGCCCCTGGCAGAAACCCTGCGTGGGTTCCCCGCACCTCCCCAGGTCCCGCACCAGGGCTGAACCCCAGGCTCCAGCCCCCCAGTTCTGAGTCCCTGGGAGAAACCTCCCCCGGTCCCGACCACAAGCCACCACCACGAGGGGCATGCTAGCCGCTAGGCTGTGAGAAACGCCAGCCCCTGCTGCGGGCAGTGTCCTGGGACAGCCGCGAGGGCAGAGACACTTGTCAGTCAAGGCCCTGGACAGACCCCTGGACAAGCCACGTGCTGTCCCTGCTTGCTAGTCAGGCAGGACCGACAGGGAACTTCTCTGGGCTCCCCCAGCTGCAAGGACAGGAGAGGCTCTGTGAGAGAGGGCACACACACCGCCAGGAGTCATCGACACCGCTACAGTGACATTCCTGGGGACCAGCTACCGACCACGCAGTGGATCGCCCTTCACTCCGCAGCGTGCCAGGCTTCGAGGCCATGTGCAGGGCTGGCAGGTGCAGTAGGAACAGCCCGGGTCCAGCAGGCACTGCACGGCCGTCCCGCCCTGGGCCTCCACTGGGGGGCAGCAGACAGCACCAGGAGCTGGGCTGGCAGGGAGCAGATGGCCGTCCAGCAGGGTCAGCTACCTAGGGAGGAGGTCCACCCTGCGCTCCCTGAGGTCGCCCTCCCCAGGACAAGGCCTCACAGGCTACTGTCCTCCATGGCCCGGCTCTTCAGGGTCTCCAGGGCGGCCAGGTCTGACTGGGCACAGGCCCCACAGCAG